ATAGATCCGTTTAGTTGAAATCGTAGTCCCTCACAAATAGGGGTGTTAACGGGCCGAGTCGAGCCGAGCTTTGATCTTAACGGGCCAAGCCTGTATTTAAACATGTCCGACTGGCCTTAGCCTGTTACCTGTTACGAATATAATATTGGCATGTGGCCTTGTTTATTTACAAAAAATAAAAGCCTATGTGAAACCTGTCTTAGCCTGTTAGCATGTTAAAGAATAAAAATAAGAGAACAGAATTCCACAAAAAATCAATTTCCAGATAGAAACCTTAGCTTCCAATTTGCAGCAATAATTTACAAAGTCTACAATAAATAAATAAAATTAAAATGAGAGAAGGTAGATAACAGGTTATATTATCTTAGCCCATTATAAAAAAAAGTGCCAACAAAAATAAAAAAAATAAAAAAAATAAAAAATAAATTGACACAAACGAGCAGTGCACAGTAGAACGAATGAGTTTTTGTGGGTTTGTTTGTGTGAAAGAGGATGAAGGATAATATAGAACAGCACTAGTAATTCCATAAATATACATAAATTCAATATATATCCAAATAGCATAATATAGAACAAAATCATTCAAAAAGTATGTTAAACCAATAAAATGGGGTGAAATAAATTGATGAGAGAGAATTATTACAAGTAGTATAAAAAATATAAATAAATATTTATATACTAGGCTAGCCAAAGGCCTTTTTATTAAACGAACTTTTATACAAGTCCAAGCCTGGTTCCAACACGAGCTTGCCAAAGGCCCCTGGCTCGTTTTCCACCCCTACTCACAAATTCAAAAAAGACTCATATTAGTCCCTAAAATGACTAAAATGGGTCTATTTTGAATTTCTTAGGAACCATGATGGGCCTTTTTATTCGTTAGGGACTAAAGCGGGTATCGTAAAATTTGCTAACAACCAAAAAAGATATTTAGTCTTTATTTTATTTAAGTTTATAGGTCATTTTAATTTTTACCTTTCCATATTCATAAAAAAAAGTGGGTGTTGTGTCTAATTTTTTATAGTGGTATGTGTGTTATTTTCAGGAACGGAAACAGATTACAGAATCAAGATATCTCAAACGTCGAAATCACCATCCCAAATATGTACTTAACCCACGTGTATGGGGAGAACTATAGCAACCTTAATGAAATTCGTCAGGTCTGTTTATATATCTGATAATTCATTTCTTATGATATGTTAGAAATTGTCTGAGTATTGTTTTGACTTTTGACCATTGGGTTTCCTCAGTTCTCTGGTGCAAATGTGGTGGTTCATGATCCAAAACCTGGGGATACTGTAGCGCTTGTGGTTGTGTCTGGAACACCAAGTCAAATTCACATTGCTCAGAGCCTAATTCATGCTTTCATTTTATGTGGGCAGCCTTAAGCTTGATTGAGTGTATAGGGACAAGAGGAAATGTAAAAGCTGTTTTTAGTCACTACACAAAAAAAGTCTTGTAATTCTTACTCCCATTGTGAAGGTAATTTTGTTGACACTTTCTGTTTCTGATTTCTAACATTTTAGTTGTTACTTACTTTTCCTAAATAAAATTTAGAAGTGTATTTGAAGGTACAATATTTACTTTGACGATAATTCCATCAAGGTTCCTCACTCAATTCGCTTTAAAAAATCTAAAAAAAAGTGGAAATGGATCCTCTAATGTGCCAAAAAAACATGATATAGTCATGTGGGAAGATCACAACCATACAAAGGTAAATCAACGGTTATGATTTCGTAACTACCTATTTTATCATTTTTTCTCTTTCCTCCTTTTTTACCATTGATCCACCTATGTATGGTTATGATTCCCCACATTATATGTTCATGTGAATTTTCACATTAGAAAATCCAGCTCCAAAAAAAAAGTTGACTCGAACCATCCTTTTTATCCCTTTCCAATTTTTTTGGGTACAAAATCCCTTTCCAATTTTGAGTTTTTTTATATTATTATTTAAACAAATAAGGACTCATTTTTTTGTTTAAATTGTAACTATACTTGTCAAACACAATACAATATTTTGTTTTCCCATTCAGTATCCACCCAAAATAAGTTAGAAATTACAAAAAGAATTAGCTATTTCAGGGGGAAACAATATATGGTCCAAGAGATTGATTCAAGAAGCTTTTTGTCAAACAAAAATATGATGCATTAAACATGATTTACATGTTAAAAGAAACAATAATTTAAAATCTAACAAATTACAATCAAATCCTAAACCAAACGAAGTAACAAACATGATAGTGATTTATTTGGCAAAAAAAAAAACGAAAAGCAAGAGATCTAAGATTTGGTGCATATTTTTAATGATTTAATTTTATTTATTTATTTTTAGAAGGTAATTATTATTACATTTTTTTAGGATTTTAAATTTTGAATTGACCTATAATTAGTCTATAAAAAAATACTTAAGATCTTATTATAAGAGTTGACTATTTTAATATTTAATCCCGACAAAAGGCAAGACACAACCATTCTAAGTGGTGGCAGTTTCTCTTCTCCTTATAAGTAGAAGCTAGGTCAAACAAGTTTTTACAAAAATTCTTATAATAAAAAGAGTTTTTTTTTTTATAGTGAAGAAAAAAGTCAAAAGCTACATGGAGAAGTTTTTTTAAGTTGTATCAGCTTTTTTTGAAATGTATTTTTTTAAATGAATTATTTTTAAGTAACTTTTAAACTAAAATTTTTATATAATCATCAACCAACTTGTACATTTATTTTTAAAGCTTTTTTTTTTTAACTTTAACTTAAAAATAATTTTTAACTTAAAAAAAAAAGGTCAAACATGCTTTAAGTAGGAAGTTGCACCTTAAAAATGGTTGTCAGTTAAGATTAAGTCTTAGAATATTCAACTTGTGAAAGATGGTTCGCCTTCAATGAATGCAAGATTGGTCCTATACCGCTCCATTAAATGTGTAAAATGTTGAATTGAGATAAAAGTATAATATTGGGTGGCCATTCCTCCCTCATATTTCTAAATTTTAGTTATGGCTAACGAGAATTTCTAGGATGTACTTGTTGGGTAGTATTTTTCACAAGAAAGAGTTATCGTTCTCAGGAAACAGGTTGAAGTATTTTCTTTGTAGTTTTCTGAATCAAGGATTCTTGAATTGAAATTTTATTGGTTTTAGAATAAGAATTTTTTTTTTAGTCTTTATCAAGTATTAAAACTGATCTAAAAGTAAGAAATGATTTATTAATGTTAAAAGCTTATGGGAATATCTCAAATCATGGATGACAAAAATATTTGTATTACTGCAAATTCGTACAATGCTACAACATGTTTATCTCAGTTTTTGAGTTACTACAGCAAGTTTAGTTGAAAAGAAAAAAAATTCCCAAAGCTTCATGAATCTTTACAGAAATTTATATCAGAAATCACCTTTGATTATCCCTAATCAAAAGGGTTCATTTAACACTTAACAAAAATCTATTTCCCAATTTCTTTTTGTTGAAATACTCAAGTCTCATTCCCATGGATTTCTTGAGTTAAAAAGATGAAAGTATCAAACGAATAAATTAAAGAACAGTAACAATGCACCCCAAAATTTTTACCCAATCATTTCAACTAACCCAGAAAAAGAAAAGAACTAGAAATTCATATTCAGAAACAACAAATCAAAAATTAAGGAAAAAGAAAACATGCATTAAGAAATACCAAGAAAAGAAGTCTGAAAGTAAAAAAAAAAAAGTACAAACCAATGCCTTGAGAATTTTAAGATCCTAAACTAGCTAGGAATATCTTGCGAAAACATAGAAGAACTATCTTGCATGCATATCCTCGATTCTTCATTCCGCAGTGTTGCCAGTGCTTTGAAATTATGGAATCTTGAAGAGCAACACATTCAGCTTTTACACAATATCTCTCAACACTCAGAGTTCAAAAAAATGAAGATTGAAAACGTAAATCTGAAAAAGTATATCTTGTCTATTCTTTACAACCCACACAAATTAACTAAAAACTAAAAGATTCTAAAAGCTAATAGTCGTCTATCTTCTTTTTCATCCAATGGTTCTGAATTGTTCCCTCTTCCAAAATATTTGATCCACGTGGCTGCTGTAATTCTTTGAGCTGAAAGTAAAAATAGAATAAAATGTGTTAGAATTCATGCCATTCACTTCTCTTTCTATTTTTACCTCCCTTTTTTTTTTTTACTTGGGCCATATTAATCTTTTTAGGCCCATTTACCTGCAACATCAATTATTAACCGCCCAAAGAGATTTAAATAACATAAAATAATACAATAAATAGATATATATTTTAGTGCTAACAGTACTTACTTGGGTATATCTTTTTTTCAAAAGAAGAAACACTTTCTTCAACTTTGATTCATATCTTTTTAAGTTATTTTCTTCTAAATCTCTTTTTATTACTTCTTTTCGACAAATGTATGGTGCTAAGCTGCACCAAAAAAACGCTCGTGGCTAACCATCCTTTAAAATCTTTTTTGTTAAATGCATATCATTGTGTTACTTTTCACTCAAATTATTATTTTAATAATTAATTCTAGTATTATATTTTCAGTTGTATTAATTGTTCCGGATGGACAGCGATGTATAACGCTCACTGAGCCCCCATGGGCGCCCCACACCCACAAGGACCTTACATTCACAATATCGCTGCTCCTTTCCCCCAACCTTACATCGCTGGCTACCCTTTCCATGGCTACGCCATGCCACCTCACCACATTGCCGCCCTACAACCCCTAGCGTCTAGCCAGAATCCCGGACAGCCACCTTATATCGCCCATCAGGTCCCTAATCACGCCCCAGCTCTCTCTTAATTCGTTGAGGCCCCACATATACCTCATCCACAGCCAGACCACCAAGCCCGCAACCACAACGTCAGAATAACCCCTACTCATACGTCAGGGCGCAACAAGCCCTTAACCGACATCTTGCGGTTGACTCCCATACCCCTCGGCTTTAAAGGCCCCTCCAACATCGCCACGTATGTTGGAGAGACAGACCCTTTTGAATGGGTCCAAAAGTTTGAAGCAACAATGACGCTGCATGGCGAAACGGACCTCCTTGTGTGCAGAACTTTCCCTACGCTTCTGGGAGGGAGAGCGCTGACATGGTACACTACCCTACCGACTGGAAGCATCGCGTCCTGGGACGACTTAGCAAGCAAGTTCCAGTCCCATTTCGCAACCAGCCGCCTCGTGCCAAAGTCCGTTCACTCACTCGAGAAAATCTGCCAACAATCTGGGGAGTCTCTTCGATCCTTTCTAGACCGCTTTGACAAAGAAGCCCTACATGTGCAAGGCTTAGACCCAAAGGTGCAGGTTCATATACTCCTTTCAGGCTTGCGAGCGGGGTCGTTTGCCTATGAGCTAGCATGCCATGAAATTACTGAATTAGAAGAAGTTAGGAAAGTGGCCCAGGAGTATATGAGAGTTGAAGAATACAAAGGAAGTCGAGCTGATGATGCCTATAGCCAAGAGAAGGCAGCCAACAAAAATAAGAGCCCAGCAGAAGATAGTAAGAAAGGACATAAGTCAGCTAGATATACCAACCGCCCTTCGAGGAGTGACAAAACAGGGCGCCAAACTCACAGCGTCCTACAGACTGATTATAAAGATGATCCCAGGGGAAATCAACGCCCTCAGCAACCAGCTAGAGAAGCCACGGTCTACTGTAAGTTCCACCGCAGTAACGGCCACAGTACTGAGGAGTGCAGACACCTCAAAGATGAGATTGATTAGCTCATTAAGGGCAGTGCTCAAAGAAGAGATGGCGATGGTGCACGCCCATCGGAAACCGGAAGGCGGTACAGGGAGCGCAGTAAATCGCCAGAGAGACGAAGAACGAGGCAGGTGAACTCTCGACCACGACATGAGCGTTACAGAAGAGAAGACTCTCCAAGGAGCCGGAGAGCGCAAGCAAGCCCCAACGACAGAGGAAGGCGAGACGACGAGGGAGAAGACCCCGCAACCGTCAAGCACGGAGTTATAAATATGATTTCCGGAGGACTAAGCGGTGGCGGTGAGACGTCGAACGCCAGAAAAAAGCACTTGAAGCAATGTATGGAGGTTGCTGGAAAAGTCATTAGTAAAATAGACTCAAGTCTGACCAGGCCCAAAATTGTTTGGGATAACAGCGATCTAGGCGATGTCCTCCCAGGACATGATGACCCTCTTGTCATTCAAGCAATAATTGCCAACTATAGCATTAACCGTGTATTTGTTTATCACAGCAGTTCCGCTGATATTTTGTTTTTGCCATGTTTCAGGGCGCTAAGGTTTACAGTTGATGACTTAACCCCAGTCGCAGAAGAACTTTCAGGTTTCAACGCAACCACAACCAAGCCGTTGGGCGTGATCAGTCTACGTCTCTCCCTCGGAACGCCACCCACATCAAAGTTAGCAGATATCCAGTTCTTAGTGCTGGACACTCCTTCTGCGTATAATTCCATTCTCGGCAAAAGAATGTTTGCCGCCTTTGAGGCGAGCATCTCCCATCCACACTTGGCGATGAAGTTCGTCGCCAGAAACAATAAGGTCGCAACGGTGAAAGGCGACCAGATAGTAGCCAGAAGTTGCTATAATATATCCTTGAGACCAATGACTAAGGTTACTTTCAAAGATCAGCCAGCATCTCAACAAGTGGGGGACCTGCCCACCAATGAAGGACCTGCCAAGAAAGGGGGAGCTCACGATTAGTGTTTCTTGGTAGAATTTGATGCAAGAGATGATCCGCGAGTAGAGCATGCTAGGCCCACGCCTGACGGTGCATTAGAGCACGTCGTGCTGGGCGACGATAATCATCAGACAACAACCATCGAGGCGACCCAGGATCCCGAAACAAAAGACAGGTTGATCAAGCTACTGAGAGACAACAGAGACCTATTCGCATGGAAACCATCTGACATGCCAGGCATCGATCCCGAAGTATGTTGTCATCGTTTGTCCATTAACCCCAAAGCCAAGCCCATTTCCCAGAAAAAGAGAAAGTTTGACGTCGAGCTCCAAAAGATCATTGATGAAGAAGTGAAAAGACTCCACGACGCAGGGTTCATCCGAGAAATCAAGTACACCACATGGCTATCCAACCCCGTCCTGGTTAAGAAGCCAAATGAGACATGGAGAATGTGCGTCGATTATACTGACCTCAATAAGGTATGCTCTAAAGACGCCTACTCTTTTCCCAGCATAGATCAGCTGGTTGACAACGCGTCCGGTTTCAAAATGTTGTCGTTCATGGATCCATACTCTGGTTACAACCAAATACCTTTGCTGGAAGAGGACCAGTGTAAAACAGTGTTCATCACCCAGAACGCCAACTACTGCTACACCATGATGCCCTTCGGTTTAAAGAATGCAGGCGCCACTTATCAACGAATGATGAATGAAGTATTCAGAGACTTGATCGGCAATTGCATCGAAGTTTATATCGATGACTTGATCGCCAAATCTAGAACGCCAGGCCAGCACTTGACAGACCTCCAAGGCGTGTTCGACAGATTGAGAAAATTCAATATGCGCCTTAATCCCAACAAGTGCGCCTTCGGCGTTCCCGCAGGTAAATTCCTTGGATTCATGCTCACAGAGAGGGGTATCGAGGTCACCCTGAAGTGCAAGGTGATCATAGAAATGCGCAGCCCGCAAACAGTTAAAGAAGTCCAACAGCTGACAGGAAGGTTGGTATCCCTCACCCGTTTTTTGGCAAATTCCGCGCATAAATATCTTCCACTTTTCAGTCTCCTCAAAAAAGGGAACGCATTTCGATGGTCGGAAGAATGCGAAAAAGCCTTCCAGGAGTTCAAGAGGGCCCTCTCATGCCCGCCAGTATTAACCAAGCCAGACAGTGGGGAAACGCTTTATCTGTACCTTGCGGTAGGAACCGAAGCTGTCAGCGCAGCCCTAGTCCAAGAATCCAAAGAATGAGGACAAAAACCTATCTATTTTATTAGTAAGGTTCTCCAAGGCGCGGAGCTCCGGTATCAGCAGGTGGAAAAGGTCGCCTTGACGCTCATCTTTGCAGCACGGTGGTTGAGACCCTATTTCCAATGCCATCCAATCACGGTCAGAACCAACCAACCAATTCGTCAAGTCCTGCATAAGCCTGACATAGCTGGAAGGATGATGTCCTGGGCGATTGAGCTATCAGAGTACCAAATCACATACGAGCCAAGAACCGCCATCAAGGCTCAAGCCCTTACAGACTTCATCGCCGAAATGACGCAAGCCATCCCGCCCAGGGACCAATCCGAAGTAACGCCATCACCAGAGACGTGGAAGCTATATGTTGACGGCTCTTCAAACGCCAAAGGCTCAGGGGCAGGAATGATAGTCGAAAATCCAGATGGTGTAGCTATCGAACATTCATTGTCTTTTGAGTTCAATGCTACAAACAATCAAGCAGAATATGAGGCCATGATAGCTGGCCTAATCCAAGCAAGAGAGATGGGAGCTCGACGCCTCAAAGTCTTCAGTGACTCCCAGCTGGTGACATTTCAAATATTGGGTGAATAAGACCAAAGGACCTCTGATGTGCAAATATCTAGAAAAAGTCAAAGAACTAATTCAGAGTTTCGAAAGTGTCGAGGTAGAGCACATTAGGCGTGTTGAAAATACACGGGCAGATATTCTCGCCAAACTGGCCAGCACCAAAAGCCCAGGCAACAACTGGTCCGTCATCCAGCATAATATGCCAAACCCGTGCATAGTCATGAGCATCTCGCCGCAGGCCCCCGAAGCAGCAGAGAGAACCTAGATCACGCCCATAATGAACTACTTAGCTGAAGGGATTGTTCCTCCTGACCAAAAAGAAGCCAGGAAAAATGTCCGAAAAAGTGCTTATTTTTGCATAGTGCAAGGGCGGTTATACAAGCGAGGACTCTCCACCCCACTCCTGAAGTGTTTGACTCCGGAGGACGTCCAGTATGTGCTAGAAGAAATCCATGAAGGAATCAACGGCCACCATATGGGCGGTCACTCGCTAGTAAAGAAGGCATTAAGAGCTGGATTTTATTGGCCAACTATGGAGCATGACGCCCGAGAACACGTCAAAAAATGTGAGCAATGTCAGAGGTTCGCCGATATACACAAAGCTTCGCCTGAAGAATTGACGTCAATCACCTTGCCATGGCCCTTCTACAAATGGGGAATTGACATTCTAGGCCCTTTTCCCAATGGCAGCTGGGCGAGTCCAGTGGTTGATCGTCGCCACAGATTACTTCACCAAATGGGTAGAAGCAGAACCCTTGGCCACCATTACATCCCAGAAAGCAAGAAGGTTCTTTTGGCGTAGTATTGTCTACCGCTTTGGCATTCCGGGAGAAGTCATTACAGACAATGGCACTCAGTTCACTGACGCCAAATTCCGTGAACTAATGAACAACCTACAGATCCAGCATCACTTTGCCGCAGTCGAACACCCTCAATCCAACGGCTTAGTAGAATCAGCCAACAAAATGCTGAGTAAAGGAATTAAGAAGAAGTTGGAAGCACACAAAGGGGCCTGGATAGATAATCTAGACAACGTCCTATGGGGATATAGGACAACCGCCCAGTCATCCACTAGAGAAACGCCGCTCAAACTAACCTACGGCTCTGAAGCCATGATCCCGGTAGAGATTGGTGAACCTTCCTGGCGACGAGAGCACGTGACTGAGATCGCCAACACCCAAAACCTGAAAGAAACATTAGATTTGCTTGACGAGCTCAGAGGATGTGTCGCCCAGTCCGATCAACAGTCAAAAGAAAAGTCAGCTACTTATTACAACAAGAAAGTCATTCCCCGGAACTTTCAAGAAAAAGATTTGGTGCTTCGAAGAGCAGACGTTGGAAAGAAGAACGCCCGTGAAGGTAAACTCGCCCCAAATTGGGAGGGACCTTACCGGATAACCAACAAACTAGGACAAGGCGCTTACTCCCCCGAAACGTTGGATGGAAGGGCGATGCCACAGGCATGGAATGCTGACAAGCTCAAGAAATATTATAGCTAAATCATCATGTAATACCATCTGCACTCTTTTCCTTTTCCATGTTTTTATCCCCATGGGTTTTAATGGGAAAGGTTTTTAATGAGGCAGAGTTACAAACTTTTAATAAATTGATTGCAAATTCGTCAACAATGTCAAATTAAGGCCCAACTAACGGGACGGTTCTCACCCCCGCCATAGTTGGACTGGGAAGGTCCTCACCCCCAGCCAATGCCCAACTAACGGGACGATTCTCACCCCCGCCGTAGTTGGACTGGGAAGGTCCTCACCCCCAGCCAACGCCCAGCTAACGGGGCGGTTCTCACCCCCGCCGTAGTTGGACTGGGAAGGTCCTCACCCCCAGCCAACACCCAACTAACGGCACAGTTCTCACCCCCGCCATAGTTGGACTTGGAAGGTCCTCACCCCTAGCCAACGCCCAACTAACGGGACGGTTCTAACCCCCGCCATAGTTGGACTGGGAAGGTCCTCACCCCCAGCCAACGCCCAACTAACAGGACGGTTCTCACCCCCGCTGTAGTTGAACTGGGAAGGTCCTCACCCCCAGCCAACGCCCAGCTAACGGGACGGTTCTCACCCCCGCCATAGTTGGACTAGGAAGGTCCTCACCCCCAGCCAACGCCCAACTAACGGGACGGTTCTCAACCCCGCCATAGTTGGACTGGGAAGGTCCTCACCCCCAGCCAACGCCTAGCTAACGGGACGGTTCTCAACCCCGCCATAGTTGGACTGGGAAGGTCCTCACCCCCAGCCAACGCC